ACTTTAATTAATCACAGGAATACAGATGGCCATCATGTAATAAAAAGACTATCTTTTTAGCAAAGTTTGCAGTATAGCAATTTTTTAATTAAATAAATAATTTCTCTCATCCATGTACCATCTTCCCCGGATCCCAGCATATAGAAAGGATGTAGTGCAATTTATTAGATCATAGTCTTAAACAGGGAATATGTCAATATTTTGATACAATACTAATTGTAATACTGAAAGTATTAACATCACCACTTAAGTAAAGACCTGTAATACTGTGTTATACCCAAAGTAACAAAATAAAATGATGAAACTGGAAATATAAACTAGAACTAAAAACTCTATAATCATGATTGTCTCATATCTTGTCTCCTGTACTTTTTTTAGCTGCATAATGGCACTCTCCAACGTACAATTTAAGATACTGGGTAAATGTTTTATTATCATCAAACATCTTGGTACTTATACCTTTACATTAAAGGTAATTCTTTCATAACCAGTTTTCCCAACCACGTGTCCTTATTGGTGTCTTTCCAAATTTGTTTGTATTAATAATTGTATAATTTGTTAGTATGTGTTTGGATGGGATTTGAGCAGTTAATACATATTTTTTAAAACATCTTTTATAAAGAAAAGGAATAAAAAATCTAAGTATTTTACCAAGATCCTGTCTTCCGCATGTAAATCTCCCAGACAGAACTGAGGAATAACCTAGAGACCTGTGCCCCAGTTAACATGATTCCATCTAGTTTTTAGGAATTGACCTTATCTGAGGTTATTAAAGTATTGAACCTGGCATGGTGGGTTAGTGGTTCAGGAGGGAATCCTGGGAATGGACACAAGATCAGAGACCCAAGAAATTTATATTGTTGCTCTCAGTACAAAATTTGCGTCCACTCATGCTCAGTAAACCAAATATGTAGATTGTCATTCTAGCTGGTGAAGGCTGGGTAACTTATAACACATAAAATGGCTGCCAAGCATCCCCATAGTCCTTCTTCTGGAACACATCAAGCCAGGCTCTCAATTAACTTTGTTTTTTTGGTTTAGCATTTCGGAAAAAGAAGGAAATGAGAATAAGACAAGCTAAAATCAAACAGAAATTGTTATATGTGTATAAAAAACAAAAACAAAAAACCCAAACCCATTGCCATTCCAACACAGGACAACCCATGGTTACAAAGTAGAACTGCACCATAGGGTTTTCTTGGCTATAATTTTTAAGGAGACAAATCACCAGGCCTTTTTTCTGACTTAGAAAAAAGACTAGAAGTATTAACTGCACATTTATGATGAGATTATGGATTATATTAATTTTCTTCTTTTTAATATTTTCTGCATTTTCTACAAAAAGATGTATTAATCCTTTAATAAAATATGCTATAGAAAAGAAAACCAAAAAACGAAACCTGTTGCCGTCAAGTTGATTGCGACTCATAGCAACCCTATAGGACAGAGTAGGACTGCATATAGGGTTTCCAAGTAGCAGCTGGTGGATTCGAACTGCTGACCTTTTGGTTAGCAGCCGAGCTCTTAACCACTGCGCCACCATTAAAAACAAAATTTATTCAAAATCAAATTCTCTTTATTTTGAAATCAGTATACTTATCTCTCACATCTTTTATACCCTCACCTACAGTACTGTATCAAGAGAAATGTTTCTAGAAGTGGTCCCATGAGCACTGGAAGGTTCTCAATCATCAAACATTAATTATGTTCACTTTGCTTACTAAGGAAAGTAGACTAATACAATTGTGTATGGTGGGTGAGGAGAGGAGGGGATGGAGAGTTGGGGGGTTGCATAGCAGAATCATCTGTGGAGCTCTGAAAAAAAATACACGACTGCTCTCCCTGCGTACTCTGTTCTCCACTGTTGGCCCAGGATGAGCAGGGAGTGGCCCTCCAATGTGTATTTTGAAAAAATGTCTTGGGTTATTCTGATATGCCCTTCCCCAAAAGAGAATCTCTGCACTAGCATTATGATTAATCAAGCTATGCACTTTTAAGTCATTTTGCAATACATTAGGTTTTATACCCAAGTATAGCATGCCACAGAATTCCTATACAGGAAACCCTCTCACTAACCTCTCTGATCCTGGGTAACCTGGTATCTACTGAACTGCTTTTCCTCATTTTTCTGAGTATACTGCATGTTCAGGAATGTTAATATTTGTAAGGATTTCATTAAGGGACTCCTCACCTTCCTCCCCTTTCAAATGAGAGGGACTTCTGGATGTTCTTAGGGTACCATTTGGGAGGAGTCAAGCAGTGTGTCTTAGTTATGTATTATCTGGTGCTGCTATAACAGAAATATCACAAGTGGGTGGCTTTAACAAACAAATTTATTTTCTCACAGTTTAGGGGGCTAAGCAAAAAAAGAAACCAAACCCATTGCCGTCGAGTCGATTCTGACTCATAGCGACCCTATAGGACAGAGTAGAACTGCAGGGAGCAGTTGTTGGATTAAAACTGCTAACCTTTTGGTTAGCAGTCATAGCTCTTAACCACTGCGCCACCAGGGCTCCTTTAGGATCATAGATGTTCAAGTTGAGGGCACTGGCTCTAGGGGAAAGGTTTCTCTCTCTCTGTCAGCTCTGGAGGAAGTTCCTTGTCTCTTCTGAGCTTCTGCTCCTGGGTGATCCTCATGTGGCTTGGCATCTCTCTTCCCCCATCTCTGCTGGCTAGCTTGTTTTTAATCTCTTTTATATCTCAAAAGAGAATGACTCAAGATACACCCTGCAGTAATCCTACCTCATTAACATAACAAAGACAGTGCATTACCGAGTAGGATTATAACCACAGGCATAAAGGTTAGCATTTACAACACATATTTTGGGGGGACATAATTCATCCATAACATTCCACCCTTTGGCCCCCAAAAATTCATATCCTTGCCACATGCAAAACACAGTCACCCCATCACATCATCCCTGAAGTCTTAAATCAACTCCAAGTCTAAAATCTCATCTTCTGAATCATCTAAACCAAATATGGGGGAGACTTTAGGTGTATTCCATCCTGGGGCAAAATTCCTGTTCATCTGTGAACCTGCAAAATCTAGATTACAAGTTGTCTGTTTCCAAAGTACAATGATAGGCACAAGGTAGACATTTTTATTACAAATGGGAGAAATTGGAGGGAAAGAAGGGATAACAGGCACCAAGCAAGTCTAAAACCCAGCAGAACAATTTACATTAGCTCTCAAGGCTTGAAAATAATCCTCTGTTCTCTGAGGCCATCTGGGCAAGGGCCCCATCCTCCAGACTCTGGGTATCGGTCATGCCTTCTGGATTCTGGGTGGAGGCCCCTCGGCCCTGGGCTTCAGATCCGCCTTCCAGAGATGACAACTCTGCTTCGTCGGCTTTAGGCAGCCCCATTTGCCTAGTCCATCTGAGTGGTGACCCTACCCCCTTGGCCCTAGCAGGCCCCATTCTTCTGCCCCTTGGGCATGGCAGCCCCACACCCTCAGCTTTGGGTGGTGGACCCATCTCCCCCAGCAAACCCACACTCCAGAACAGAGTTGGCGAAGATCTGACTCTTTGAAACCTAGGAAGGTATGGCCCCTCTCTTTGAGATCCAGGAGACAGTGGCCCCACCTTTTGAAACCGAGAAGGCCTGTTTCCTGTGCTCCTTCCAACAGTTCTGCTGATCTCTGAGCTGCTCCAGGGATGGTCCTTTTCTTTTCTTGGAGGACAACAGATGTAACTCCTTTGGCCTGTTTCCTGCCTGTAGAATTCCAAGAAGCAGACAGCATTTTCCCTTTCTTCCTATCCCTGTCCCCTTCAGTCTAAGCTGATGGGTCTTCTGCTGTGGCAGTTGGTTAGATCCATCAGTCACAGGCTTAATCTCTTTAACAAAAGATTGTGTAGCCACATCCTTGGTGAAAATTCTAGGACATGTATCCTTAGTTTGTACAACAGAATTTTCCAAATCTTTAAGTTCTGTTTTCATTTTACATAGTTCATTTTTAAGTCCATCTCTTTTCTCTTGCATTTTACTATAAGCAGCAAGGAGAAACCATGCAGCTACTTTATATCTCCTCAGCTACATATCCAAGTTCATCACTTATGAGTTCTACTGTCCACCAAATGTTTGAAAATAATTCAGACAAGTTCTTTGCCACTGCATAAAAAGCATCACCCTTTTTCCATTGTCCAATAACATGTTCATCGTTTTCTTTTAAAGCCTCACCAGAAGCACATTTAATTTCCACATTTCTAGCAACGTTCTGTTGTTGGCACCATATGTATTACCTAAGACGACCGAGGCTTTCTCTATCACCCTCCTCACTTCCTTGAGCCCTCACTAGAATTGCCTTTGACATCCATACTTCTATGAACAGTCTCTTCAAGGAAATCTAGGCTTTTACTATTAGGCACCTTAAAAGGCACCTTCAAATTCTTCCAGCCTCTACCTATTACCCAATTCCAAAACCACTTCCACAGGTATCTGTTAGAGCAGCACCCCACTCTTCTGGTACCAAATTCTGTCTTAGTTATCGAGTGCTGCTATAAAGGTACCACAAGTGGATGGCTTTAACAAACAGACATTTATTTTCTCACAGTTTAGGAGGCTAAATATCCAAATTCAGGTCGTCAGCTCTAGAGGAAGAATTTTTCTCTTTGTTGGCTCTATCCTTGTTTCCTCTGCGCTTCTGCTCCTGGGTGATCTTCATGTGGCTTGGCACCTCTCTTCGCTTATCTCTGCTTGCTAGCTTGTGTTTAATTTCTTTTATATCTCAAAAGAGAGTGACTCAATATACACCCTACACAATCTTTCCTCATTAACATAACAAAGATGACCCATTCCCAAATGGGATTACAACCACAGGCATAGAAGTTAGGATTTACAACACATTTTTTGGGGGGACACAATTCAATCCATAACACAATGAAAACCTTGATCAATTTGAGCTACATGACCAAGAGCTAAGGAGTCTCTTGGAGTCTTCAGAGGATTTGTACCAATGAAAGTTTGGGAAAATGTCAGCAAGTTCTACACATTTATAGCTAGCGATGTTTAGTGGTAACAGCCACCTTTTCTTTTCAAAGAATGACTATCTGGTGCTTTAACTATTTCTGAAAAGTGGACATTTGTTCATGCTTTATTTCTCAATTTTAACTTTTGCTCTTATTCAAAATATCCAATTTAAAGTTGAACATTTTTATAGAGGCAGATGTCATATTTACACTTCTGGAGGCTAGCTGATAAATTAATCAAAAAGTCAATCAGGTTGCTTTCTCTAAGAAAACGATATAATATAAATGTGTACCTAGTGATTTGGACACCAAAATCAGTCTGTCCCTGTATTTTGGTTTGAGACAAACAGGATTTCCATTTAGATCCATTTTCCACAACTTCATCAACTTGCTCAGTAAAAACTCCAAATCCTGTAATTACAGAAGAAAAAGCAAGACATAAGTATTTCGTAATTATCAGTATTTCTAGCATGCCAGTTAACTGTATTTAAATGTTATTACTGTTTTTCATGGAGTTCTAGCTCAGTACCAGGTACTTAGAAGGTGCACAATAATTATTTAGATAAAATGGTTTAAACCGCTAATTTTCTAGTTGCCGTGGAGTTGACCCTGTCTCAGGCCGACCCCACGTGTGTCAGAGTAGAACTGTGCTCCATAGGGTTTCTTCAATGGCTGATTTTTCAGAAGTAGATCACCAGGCCTTTCCTACAAGGTGCCTCTGGGTAGACTTGAACTTCCAACCTTTCGGTTAGCAGGCAAGTTAACCACTTGCACCACTCAGGGACTACACTGGAATTGTTGCTGTGTGCCATGGAGTTGATTCTGACTCACGGTGATCTTATATGATAGTGTAGAGCTGCCCCTTAGGGTTTCCTGGGCTCTGATCTTCACAGAAGCAGATCACCAGGTCTTTTCTCCTTCAGAGTTGATGGTGGGTTCAAACTGCCGACCTTTTGGTTAGCAGCCGAGCAGTTAACCATCGCACCACCAGGGCTCCTTACACTGATGATAGTAATAAATTTAAAAAAAAACAAAAAAAAAAAACCCCAAACCTGTTGCTGTTGGGTTGATTCCAACTTATAGCGACTATATAGGACAGAGCAGAACTGCCCCATAGGGTTTCCAAGGCTGTAATCTTTACAGAAACAGACTGCCACATCTTTCTCCCACCCTTGAACCGCTGACTTTTCAGTTAGCAGTCGAGGCTTAACCACTGTGCCATCAGGCTTCCTGTACTGCTAATAGAGGGGACTAAAGATGAGGGAAAAGGTGAGGTCCTGAGCTGGCAGCCACAGACCTGTTCTCTGTGACACTTCCTTAAATGGACCCAACCTGCCGCTCAGAAAACACTTCTGCCCCCAACCCCCCAGTCTACAGAGGACGCCCTGTTCTCACTGGAGCTGCTGGAAGTTCACAGATGAAGGCAATTAAGGAGTAAGCAGCCCACAGGCCTTGCAAACTATATATTGTTGCTTTTTATTTTACACAGAATGCATATTCATTTTTAAAATCTGTAAAAAATATATCAAAGGGAAAGTAGAAGAAGAAAAAATCACTAACATGCTTATCACCCAAAGATGACTATTAGTTTGTTGTTACACATCCTTCTGGTCTTCTTTTTTGAGCGCAGGGGTTTCTTTTAAAATTGTCATCATACTGTGAGTACAATTTCTTTTTGTTGTCTCATAAAGGTTTGCCTGTTTTTACAGCTTACCAAAAAATCAGCTAGTTCATATTTCAAGGAATAGTTAGTTATTCCAGCATCTGACACCCCAGTAAGTGGCACTTAAGAACCAGCTCTCACTTTGCCCTCTTCTCCTCTTTTTCCCTGTTTGGGTTTCTCTTTCCCACCAGTCACTATTTCTCTTCCCTATTCCTTGCCTTTCTGACATCCTTTCCCTTGCTTTCTCTCCTTCCTCTTTCCACCTTCCTTCCCCAATTGCTATTTTAACTACTATTAAATGGGAAATGAAATATACTTCAGGTATTTTTTATGTTTGTTTACAAAAAAGTTTTTTTTTTAAAAAAAATTTAAAACCAAGTAAGTTTAACCTGTAATGAAGTACTCAAAAAAGTCATTAAAAAATGTTTTTCTACTCTGTAGCCTTCAACTTATTCTCTTTGGCACAGTGGTTAAGAGCTCGGCTGTTAACCAAAGGTTGGCAGTTCAAATCTACCAGCTGCTCCTTGGAAACCCTATGGGGCAGTTAGTTCTACTCTGTCCTATGGGGTCGCTATGAGTCGGATCTACTTGACAGCAACAGCTATGGTATGGTATAGGCGGAAAAAAAAAAAAAAAAGAGAGCGAAAACTCCCTTCACTCAGACAAAAGCATTCTTTTAAAGCACATATTTTGCTGCTAATAGTAACTGCCAGTATTGACTGGTTCTCAGGGCAAGCTCTGTGGTTTTCAGAGCACTGCTCCGTATGTGATCTTGTGGGTATCTAGGAAGATTGCTGCTCTTTAGAAAATGGACGTGAGGATTATACGGTTAACGAAGATTTCAGAAGACGGCACCCGGCAGAGAGCTATGATTCTTCCATTTGTTTTCCACAAGTCAAACTTTAGATCAGAATTATCATGGGAACTGTTGAATTGGTGTATGTTTTGTTGTGTGTATTCTCCACAACAACAACAAAATAAATAAAATTTAGAAAGAAAAAAATTATCATGGGGTATAAGGGGGAAATTGGGAAACATATTATAGATGAATTCATACATGTTCTTAATTGCAAAGCTGAAAGCAAATTGTGCATTGTCTGGTATTTTTGTTCCCCAGATCGTTTCCTCACCTTCCAAACTTGATATCGTTTCAGCCTTATATGTATCTATTTAACCTATTTGTGCCCTCCATCTTATTCTTTGCTCTACTCATGTTTACTACTTAGATATTTCATTTTTTGAAAAATTTTCTGGTAAGATTGCATTTATACTTTAGATTTTAGAGAAGCATTTTCTACTATGAAGCTTTAAAAATAGCAGTTCCCCTTTCACACATTAAAAATCTCTACAAAACTGTCATAAACACAGAGGTAACAAAATCGGAACCCTGGCTGGGCACCTGCACCTGTATAATGGAACTCTACCTTTGGGGGATAGTTACAAGGACAACTGGGTGTCTAGGACTCCCTGCAGGGCACCTGCTAGGTCCCTTCAGCTTCCTGAGACCAACCCCTTCCTCTGTAAAGTGGTCAAAGTATTTCCATTTTTGCCTACCCCATTATTCAGTAAACTACTTAATGAATCCTAAGTATGTTCAGAGATCCTAGGGAACAACTTATGTGAAACTGTAAGGAGTTATTCTTTTAAAAAAGAGGCAATCCACAGTTTCTGGCACCACTGCTTACGGTGGGACTTGGGCCAGTCACTTAGGCTTTCTGAGTCTCAGTGTCCTCATTTACAAAGTGATGATAATGAGGGTTGGATGCCATGGCATATACAGATGAGCCTGGGACAAAGCAGCTAAGTAATAAATGTGTTCTCTGCGTCTTTGCCTACCCTGCCACCCCTTAGCTCATTCCCCTTCTCTTAATTTTGGTTAATAAAGAACAAAAATTGTTGTAAATGAGGAAGAATAAGCTTCTGACCCACTAAAAAACAAGTTCTTACAAGAAAACTCTTTTCAAAATTATAAACTTCAGCCCTCAGTCCTGGGCCTGGGATCATACCTTATCCTCAACATTTGTACAACAGTGGTTAACACAGGCATACTTATTTTATTTATGTGAGAATTCCACTGTATTTTTTTCTGACTCTAAAAACATTTAAGGAAGGGATTATGTATTACATTTTTGTACAGTGTTGAATGTAATGAATGTCAATAATAAGAGAACTTTAAAGTTTTGTAGATAAAGAGTCCTGTAGAGTTTTGTTAATTGTTCCTCACTTGATAAATGACCCTCAGCATACTCCCTCCAGTGTATGTTTATTTAAGACTAAAGTAATCCTGTGCTGAAATACGATTACCCTTTGGATACGCTCTGGTTGTTCATTGCCTTCCTGTCTTTCATGAAATGCTTTCACTTCCCTGCCCTTCAATAAGTTACGCTAAAGGGACCAGACACTTTTCTGGAGAGTCTCTGTTTGATAAATGATCATGTCATGCTATCACTGAGAGGAGAGCTGCTAAACAGTGAGGAGCCGAGGTGATTTCCCATGCAGGGCTGGTGCCTCAGTGCCTTCTCCACAGTTAATGACGACCACTGATGAACCTGTATTTGACCTGCACGCTCCAATCTTTATTGGAAACGTCTGGCCCAACTGTCCTAACTACATCGAAAGACAGCCATTTGTCATCCCCCTGACTGCCTGTCATCATCTGCCTGGGAAAATCTATAATTTTTGGTTGGTTCCTGACTAAACTGTAGACTGAATAAATTTATCTTTGGGACACTCTGCTTGTCAGGGTCAATATTGAGCAGAGGTTGAATAAATTAGAAACTGGGAAAACATGACAGGCCATAGTGGTTTGTTCATTTGTGTCTTAGAAATCAAATCTTTAGTTTATATAAAGACGCAAGCCCATTAAGTTGATTTCCACCATTCATTCTGAAGATGCTATACCTCATGATAAGTGGTCATCAGAAAACCAGTGAAGCAAATCACTAATATATCTGACTGTGAGATGAACTTTTCAGATCATATTGATTTAGCAAACTTTGCAGGATTAAAAACTGTAGGTGGAGACTTAAAAATTGTTTTTTGTTCTTTCAAGTTTTAATACATTTTTGCAACCCTATTTATTTGACTTAATAGTGTCAGCAAGCTATTAAGGTTGCCTCAATGATGTTCATGGCTCAAATTACAAAGCTCATCAAGCTACCTGCAAAAAATGCAGAAGTTTTCTTGTAAATGGTCATTAGATTATTTAATATTTTTACATACTTGTTGATATGTACTTGTTTAAGGAACTTCACATAAAAAAATGCAAACAAATATTAACCAAAGGTAAATGTCATTTAAACTAGAGCCCTGTGAGTCAGAGAGAGGAATTTCTAAACCATGGAGTTATTTGATGGCCTAAAACCTCTCTTTCTTCTTCTCAGTGGTTGGCCTCAACATCAGTTTTATTGAGAAGTGGGTCATCTTCCCGCAAAGATTTCTCAGTTATTAGCCTCTGGTCTCACACTTCCTCTTCATTCTTCTTTCCCATCTTTTTCAACAAAGGAAGAGTCCCGTCTCTTTTCCCAGGTTAATCAGTTCTCTTGACCTTCCCCTCTCCATCGGGCCTTTTTCCCTTAGGATCTTCTCCCTCTTACATTTCCCATCTCTTACTCTCCTCTGGCTTTCATCCTATCTCTTACCTACCATCGCCAGATTCCTTGTAAGAGAAGTCCATACTAGTGCTCCTCAAACTTGAATGTGCCTAAGAATCACCTAGGGACCTGTTTCAGTGCAGATTCTGATTTGT